CTACTACTACTACTACTACTACTACTACTACTACTACTACTACTACTCCCACTCCTGCTGACTACTCCTACTCCAGCAGCAGCAACTACAATGACAACAATGGCTGGGGGTCAGCGGGATCTGAGTGCAGAAAAACATAAGAACAAACCATCACCGTGAATACATAAACCTTATGGCATCGAGGGTGTGCGAAGCTCTACAATATCTCTTGTGTTCGAATGCTAGCAGCTAGCAGCATGAGCCCCTCAAAGGCTGCATTATCCTGAGTAAGACAGGACGGCTGGCCACCAAGAAGTCACCCTCCTCAGGGTGTTTCATGTTTTAAGACGGAGACCCTCTGGACTGGCTGGGTTTTCCTGGTCTATTTCCCGAACCTTCCACGGGGGCTCTTGGTCTTGGGAGGTCTCTCTATTGTGATTTCCCAAAAACATACCAGCCAATGTACACGACCTGAAACGGGACTGCACTTACCACTGCACTTGCCTCTTGGGTGATTACTTGGTCATCGGAAATTCGTGAAAGCCGTTCCCAGTTCTCCAAACGCTCATGTCCGACCTTGGGATTGGGCTTTTCCTGCGATTTCCCTCATGATTTGGTAAAGCTTGGTCTCCCTTTATTCGACCAACCGCCGGTTGGCCGCATGATCCGAGGGGCTCATGGAGCCACGGTTCCGGGCCCAGTAGAGATCCTCGGCATCAGCATCCCCGCGGCAAAGAAAACGCACCAAACGAATCCGAATGAGACGATGGGGATCTAAAAGCTACCCTAAAGCCTCCAACCAAAAGCAACACGCATGCTTGGAAACTTTTGGATACTTTTGGTATCAAACTACGTTCAATCCTTTCCAAGGTCAATTCACTGCACTATCATCATTGTGACACAAACATCGCAATGGCTGAGCCACACTCTTGCTTGGGCCGCTCTTTTCTCTTTACCAATCACGAGACATCACCAGAACAGGGTCTTACAAAACAAGCGTCACAGAACAAGAAATTCTAGAACGAATGATCGGTTCGAACAATATATAAGGAACTGGTGGTCGATCTCCCGAAGGACCAAGGTCGACACCGCCGATGATTTCACTGAGGAGCAGGTGCGCATAGGTCCGCAGGCGACCCAAACAATTCTCTCACCCCAAGCAACACCATAAGTGAGGTCTATCAACAGCAACCAGACCCAAAAATGAATCGATAAAACCCTTGCCTCCAAAGAAATCTTCAGCAAGAATCGACCAGGCCGTGATAGATGAATTCTACAAGTTCCTCTACGCAGCACGCACTTATGCATCATGTTAATCAATTATTATACAATCAATATGATGTCAATGATTTAACATTATTCGACTAATTCGGATTAATTATCCACCCCACCATAGACTCGTATTCCACCCCAAACTTGTTGAAATTCGTCTTCCTCCGTTTCCACACGCACCACTAGGCCGTCCGCACCACAAAGTCTGGATGCCCGTAGTGCATGCGCACGCCCAGCCAGGTCTGAACCTGCACCGGTCCGCGAGACCGACGGAGCCCAGTTTTTTGGATGAGAAGAATGGACATAACGCGTTGGATGGGAAAAGAACACATGAATGACAGGCAATGGGCCAAGATTCTTTGATGTTTCACTTCCATTCTTGTCCTTCTATCGTCCATCCACCAGCTCTGGGGCCCATATATGGGCCCTTGCTCTCTGCCGGCCCATGGTGGCCCTCGGAAACCATGGTCCGGAATGGCCATGGATGGCCATGGAGAAGCACCGGATCGATCCGGTCGCTCTCAGCCCATACTTCCCACACTAAAAACTATAAAAACCACACACACACACACACACGGGTGTGTGTGTATTAGAATCTCGGGAGACCTGCCTGATTCTTCGGAAGGTTCGGAACCTAGACCCCACACATCCCCAAACCCTTGTGGGACTGGGGTCTCTCCCTATTTAAAACATATACACCCATGACCGGCATCTTGCATCAGTTCTCGCATCCCCCGGCCCGCTGGATGGAGGTCCCGAAGCACCACTCCGCCACGGCGTTAATGTCCTTGGACGTGTTCCGCGGCCCAATGCAGCGCGACGATCACTGATCACTGGCTTCGGCTGATGACTACTGAGCTGGTCTGAAGTGTTCCTGAGGGATAGAATGGCTGGAAGACCAGTTGCAGCTTTGTAGCTTGGTGAACGGAGGTTGACATTTGAGTGGAAAGAAGCACCCTGCAGCATTCCCCAAGTTCGCCACTGGTGGAGACCTTGTGATGTGCAATTGCATCTACTGGAGACCTTCTTGTGTTCGTTGTGCCAGGGTGCGAAAAGGCCGAAACTGAAGGAAGCTGGATCAAAAAGAGATAAAAAGAGTGGCGCCAAAAAAGAAACACAGCTTTGCAAGTTTCCAAGAAGCACCGAAGGATGCGTTTTAGCGTAATCGAAGTTCCGACCCGACAGTCATCTTCCGTGTAACCCAGGCATAGGCTCAGATAGGCCAGTGAATTCTGCAAGGCTCTGTACTGTAGATGTGTTCGAATCTGTAGATGGGTGGCCTGTGTCTTGAGGTGTTCATGGGTCAACTGGGTCTTCAGGTACATGTACCAGTACCGGCAACCATACACCTTCGTGCGGGCCACCGGTGAACGGCGTCGAACGGCCCCGGGCCACCGGGCGCCACAAATGCCATGGGCCACGGTGAAGATGTGTTCGCGGAAGCCGATCAGCCTCGCGGAAGCCACTCGTGTTCGGAGCGTGTCCGGACTCGGTCAACGTTGAGGGGATTTGAAATGAGAAGTGGAGCAGTGGAGGACAAGCATTAAAGTCTCTTTGTCTTTTAGAACTTCCACTTTTTAGGACGTGAGGCCACAGATTTATAGATTGAACAGGGAATACCTTCAGCGCACCAAAAGCCTTCAAATGGGGAGGGCCTTCTTTACCTCCTCTGCCCAGCTGCCAAGACTATGCCGGGCAAGGTTTATAGCCAAGACTCTCCCTCACCCACGAGATAAACAAGGAACAGAAGAATTCGGCCAGCCAGCACTGATTCGCACCGATCCATCAGGCAACTATGAGTCAGAGCCTGACTCACTGGTCCATCCAATCCAACACTGTTCCAACGTCCTTCCGACTTTCGCTGCCTTCGGGACTACGGCCACCACTGACAGTCCCTCACCCCCCGTCCCGCTCCTGGCGGTGACCACGTCTCGGGAGCTGCCCCGCGGTTGGAAGCGCTTCAGCACCATGGGCACCTGCGGCACCGCTTCGCGGTCGAAGCGGTGGCAGCTCACCCTCCGGGCCACGCACGACGTGAGGAGAACGACACGTCGCGTCGGTTCCGTCGTCCTTCTTTCGCGAATCACCTGGAGGCGATTTCCGTCTGCCGACGAAACGAGCATCAGCTAATGCGGTAATGGCCTGGTGGAAGTAATGGCTCCTCTGCGATGGGAGTTGGCTCAAGTGGTCAATGTCTTGGTGATCCAACGCATTGAGCCATGTCTAGGGTGCGGAGAACTGATGGTTGGACCTCATAATGGGTGCTTGAACAGGTGAGCATGGTTAGCCATGGTTAACCTCAAGCTACTCCTCAAGCTATATGTTATAAGGAACGCCCCTCCTAGAACCAAAAAGGAAGACTCCCTAGGGCTCCTAGGGACTAGAAGACTGGTACCAGCCTGGACATTTTTCAGTGCCTTACTCACCTCCCCGAATGTAAGCTTGTCAAGATTTGTCGAGAGAGTCCAAGGTCAGTGGCTGATTCTCGAAACAAATCTTTTTCAGCCTCCAAGCTCCATGCCTTTCAGAAGCTGGGCTTCTTTAAAAACACCTGTGCATGCACACGCGCACTCGCACCGTGTTTCGTGCTTGCGAAACGCAGGGCGCCGGTGCTGGTGACACCGTGATGGTGCCGGGTGCCGGGTGGGCACCTTAAAGGCTTCTCCGATGAAGGAACCCATGTTGGCATCCATCGCCTGCCATCCGGGCGTGGCTGCGGTATATAGTTCGTCCGCGCAAAGAAGTCGGCGGTCAAACGTTGCCGGGGCGAGGTTCACTGTGAGTAAATGTTCATCTAAAAACTGGTTTGGTATGTCAGTGAACAAATAGGAGCATGTCATGATCCAAACGAACCATGACAAGCAAAGCATGGTATTTCAATGGTGATTTTTCATGACCACAAAGCATGTCAACTCCAACCCCATCCCCATACCACTCTCATGAGGCATGGTTTCTGGGTGCAAGATCGCTGGAATGTTCGATGCCTGGAACTTGAAATTCGATGCCTGGAACTCATCAAAATATCAGAAAAGCTCAAATGTCTTTGTCTAAACAGTTCTCATAACAGGTGTTCTTGCTTGTTGATCTTGTTGCCGGCCAAGCGCATTGGAAATTGCTGAAGTGCTCCCCTGGACATTGGTTCTGTATGCTGCATACCTAGGACCTAGGACCCAAAGAATCTCCAGACTGGGCTCTGATAGACGAAATGCACAGCCATCATGCTACTGTTTGTACAAGGGGAAAATTGGGGACAATTCAGGCTGCGCTTGAACTGAGCTTCCTCTGCTTTGCCGAATAGACACCTGCATGGTCCTTGACTGCTCTTTGCACCCGCCGAGGTGCGCTGGACAAAATAACAATCTAAATATAATATTAAGAAGTGAAAGCACTCGGGTCATGTGTACAATTTAGCATCATAGGGTCGAAAACAGACTTATATAACCCAATTAGACTTTCTTCTGGAAGTGGGTGTTAATGTTTATTGCATTGAGGCCTTCTCTGGCACTAAAACATGTCCCAGCAGCATTTGTTTTGACCAAGGGAACTTCTGTCTGCATGTTTCTGTATTCTCTGGTTGTGGAGCAATAAAAGATCCTGATGTTGGTTAAAGTTCAAAGTCGCCAACACTCGCCTGCTGTGTGTCATCTGCGGAGCCTGCCCTCTGCCCTCTGCGGAGCTCTCCTGCCTGAAGAGCAAAGCCCTTGCAAAAGCGCAAGGCCATCAATTGATTTCCAGCCTTGCCCTGCGTGAGATTTCCTGCAAACGTTGCCAGGAAGAGCTGAGCAATGAAACATCGGGTGTTTGATTAGGTGTTGGCTGTTTTACCAGTACGAGATTGGGCAGCAAAACCTCCGATCCAGGATTGACTGACTAGGGAAAGCTGGTTGGAAAAAAAACAACGCATAAGAAGGCACAAACAAGGAGACACAAAGAGACAACAGACCTGTGAAGTACATGTTAGTGCGTTGAATAGCAACCCCCCTGGCACGTGCATGGCACATACATGGTACCCACATCTGAAGCTAGCATAGCCCAAACATCGCTCCCAGACTGCTTTGATGTCCTTCTCCTCGTATATTGGAGAGAAACCAATGACTCTACTAGTGCTGTTGCAAGGTAAATCTTTCAGGGACTCATCTCATTGGAATGGTTGCCAAGCTCTTGACTGTTAAACATATCTGGGCATCACTATAGGCCTGCCATTTTGTGCTCAAAAAAACAGGTGGTTCTGACAGTATATTGGCCTCTCCTTCTTCGACTTCTAAGCACACCCCGCATCCCAAAAGCACCCCTTTTGTGGAGAAAACAGGCTAGACTAGACAGAATGATCCCCATGGCAACACTGCTGGGAATCCCTACAAAATGGGTGCGACCTTTCTTCGTGTCACTCACTACGAGTCGCATCAAGCACTGGTGCAACTCGCACCCTTTACTCTAGTTGTCTTATATATATATAATATTCATTATTCCATTTTTTTGTGTGTGTCTGTGTGAGTGGGGGGCAAAGTACTCTTAAGAATCTGAACAACAGAACGAACACGGGTCTTGGGCGGCGCGGTCTCGGGGCGAACATGGATTCATCGGATTTCTATCTCACCCCCGCGAGCCTGGCACCGCGAGCATGGCACGTTCGCTTTTGTGGTGCATCGGCTGAGCACTCACGGCCAACTAATTACTTACCGCAGTTACAAGCCCCTAGGCCCTAAGCAGGGCTTTACCACCTAAGGACACTTGCATCTCATGTACAACGTCAGGTCAACATCTGGTGCACACACACCAAGCTGCCAAATCCCTTGACAGTTCTGCACCAATCTGCACCATATTGAACCAATTTACATTGACAAAGTATCGACAAAGTATCATTCACAAAACCATCAACATTTGGCACGTCAAAACCGGGGAATTCTCTTGGCGTTCCCCTCAACACTCCCCCAGTTTCCTGCAGAAACCATCTCCCATCTTCTTCCCTCTTGCACCAGACCGGTCCATCGCAATTCAAGACGACCTGGCCTCCACCTGACTCCTTTGGGTCCATCAAGTTCGCTCACCTGGTCCGTCCCCCCTCGGTCCACTCTCCTTTGTTCTTACCGATCATCAGTGGCAAGCGCCGCGGCATCGCCTCCCGCTGGTGGGAGGAAAGGAGACGTTTTGGGACGCCCGTTTGCGGGGCAGGCAGTTGTTTGGGCGGTTTGGTAGAAGTGACATGGTATTCATTCATGATACGGTATCATCAACTGTCAATATGTGTCAATATGAAAGAAGAATATGTTATGCCCCGCTTCCTTTCGTCAGAGCACTCCGCCCTGTTTGACCTTGGTATGTCTTCCGTCAGGTGCGCCGCCTCCATGAGTTCCAAGTTCAAGACGCTGGTCGGGTCGAAGGCTTCGACCTTCGGGCGGCGGGACCGGTCCTGGACCGGCTGAGCCACCCGACGAACTTTCATCGGTGTGCGGGCGGCGGGTTTAGCTTAGCGTAGAGCGTAGCCCCCTCTTCGAACCGGTGGCACATCATTGGATCAATCCTGCAACATCAAAGGAAAGTTCCATGTCAATTGACTCAATTGTCCGTGGGACGTCAACATGGATGTCAGGATGCAGGATCCAAGACATGGATTCACCTCTCTGATGAATAGTTGAGGGCAAAACATGGCAAACCCCTTTCCTTGGCTACGTAATTCAACCGAACGGCGCGATATGCGGTGCACAATGTTGCCCTTCAACAATTTTGCACACTAGCTAGCTAAATTAAAGCATGCTAAAGCCACCTGAGAGAGTTCGACCCACTGCTAGAGACATGTGCAAGGGTTGCGCAGGGTGGGTCACACAGAAACAACCCAGAGCCCTTCTGGTTTGAGATCATCGACCTGAACTGAATAACCAAACCGTACAAGCACTGGCACGTCTGATTTCCAAACACGGTCAATCTGTGAAGTTGCTTTCAGACGCATCCCCCAAAAAATCCAGCATCTCGACACATATCAAACCTGTGAACCACAGCGATTCCTCCCTGGCTGTTGAAAGAATAAACTCCTTAGATACACATGATATGGAGAGTCTTGCACAATTAGGACACTTCATGTGTTCTTTGTCCAATCCAAAGATGGAAACAAAAAACGACAGGGCCGTCAAAAGAGATGAGAGGATGGAACACCAGCCGCGAGCGGGTCAACTCATCAAATTCCTCTTTCCCAGGCTGCCTGGGAGGCGATAAACTTCCCATCCAGATTGCTAAGCTCAAGCTCCTGCCAGAGATTTGGACAGTGAAAAAGGGCAAATGCACTCATACTGCTGGAATTCTTATATCCTACAACCGTAGCCACATGCAAATATTCGGTATACTTGGATATACCGGGTGTGCGTGGGAGAGCACGCACTAGCTCAAAACCCTTAGAAAACACTGTAAATACCGTGCAAAATTTCAAAAACTGCTCTGAGAACTAGGCGAAACGCAATTTGTTCGATCTGTCTGTGCCCAGTCTCCATGTCCAATGTCAATGACAACAAATAACAGCTCTTCGTCTGCCCACTATCAATGTGCAACACCGATGATAAATATTATCAGGTAAATCTCTCTCTGCCCACAATGAATGTACGTAGCATCATGAGCAAATTAATGAAGATATAGTACTATACATCTCTAGATTCAATAGCTTTCCTCTGGATCTCTGGGAAAGCAGATTTCCTAGATTTTTGAAAGCTTTTGAAAGAAACACTTACATACATACTTATAGCTGTTTTAAAATACCATGACTATTTCCAGAGATCCAGAGGAAAGCTTTTGAAATGAAAGCTTTATATGTTTTTTTTCACAGAAGTGATCAGATCTAGAGGGAACCTTTTGAATTAGAAGCTTGTACATAAAGCAGTTTTAATATAGCAATGATTATTCCGAGGGATTACTTTAAACAAATACTATCTACTCAAAAACATAGTTTTTGTCTTATTCCCAGCACTCCTAGGGCAAAAAAACACTGTAAAGGTAAAATATAGGGTCTTGTAACATGTGTTTTCTTAAACTAATTAAACTCGAATTAAAATAGAATTAGGTAAACTTAAATTAGAAGATTTCAATCAAGATCATTTTAACATTGATTGTGGAAATTGCTATTTTTTGGATATTAGATTGCAATAAAAATCCTTGCCAAGTTCTCTTTAAAACTCATTGTGGAAACTAGTTCTTACAATTAGATTTTAGTTAAAGTCCTTTTCAAAGTTAGTGGTGGCTTTGATCTAATATCAGATTGTGTGTAAAATCGATTTAAGATTAATTGTGGAAATTGTGATGCTTAACTAACTTGAATTGATTTTGTATCTGTTTGCTCCCCACTACAAGGCAACATCAAATAAAAGGACTTTAACTAACATCTAATTATAAGAATTGATTTCCACCACTAACTGAAAATTAATTTCCACAATCAATTCTAAAAGGGTGTTGATTGATATCCAATACACAAGCAATTCAATCAAATTATGTTGAAAAGAAATTAAACTAAAATCTAAACAACAAGCAATCAATTTCCACAATGATTTTGAAAAGGACTTTAATTGACATTTAAGTAATGACTAATTTCTACAATGACGTATAATAGGATTTTAATTGAGATCTAATTCAAAATCAATTGCCACAATGATCTTGAAAAGGAATTTAATCAAAGTTGAATTACACATTCATTTTTCTATAACTAATCTTGAAGAAATGTCAATTGACACCTAATATAAAAATCAATTTTCCCAATGATTTTGAACATGATATAAATGAAACTTAGTTTGCAAAAAATCCACAATTAATCTTAGACACATTTTTAATAGAAAGCTAATGAGAAATCAACTTCCACCAATAGTTTTGAAAGCGGTTTAATTGAAGTCTAATACCAAAATCAATTGAAATCCAATTTAAAATCAAATTACACCGTTAAACTTAAATGAAGCAAAAACACTGTGTTTTACATTGATTTTTGGCTAAAACCTCTCCAAAATTGAGGTTTTGAGCTATTTGTTTGATCAATTTTGTGAGATCCAAGCCTATCCCAGTTTAGAGAGAATACTAAAAACACAAAAACACAATAAACCAAAAAGCAAAAAACAACAAAAAAACAATGTTTGTTTATTGGTTTATTGTTTTTTTGGTATTCCCTCTAAACTGGGATAGGCTTGGATCTCACAAATTGATGAAAAAATAGCTCAAAGCCTCAATTTTGGAGAGGATTTTGCAAGAAATCACTGTAAAACACAGTGTATTTGCATCATTTGTTGCATCAAAAACATCTGCCAGGAGCACCCGTTCTGTATATGTATGCCGCAATTGTACAATATAATACAATTATTATTATATATATATATGTATGTTTAAAGCAATGTATAAAATTGGACTCCATCCGTATGGGTTCTTGTTCGGCCAAAACAAATCGATGGCTCCAGAAGCGGTTAGAGCGGTTGTAGCGTCCGCATGCTGAGAACGAACGTTCGACCGCATCTGAATCGATGATCCCCAAAGAGTCTCAGTTGGTCACTTGCTTAGCCTCACTTGGAATTGACCAATCTGGTATGGATGGGTGACATATGGCTGACATGTTCATCGAACGGAGCTTGTTCTGGGGCCGTGTTGTCAGCAAACACTGCTGGATGACCATCACCAACATCGACACCTCCCACGGCCTGGGTGACCATGCCCAGGCCATGGTAACAGGACAAGTATGTGCATTTGGAATGAACAGTCCTTTTTCCCACGAGGAACACATACCTGAACCAGAATTCTTTCATCATTCATTCTACCCTTAATTGAGACACCCCGACAAACTAAAGGTATTGGGGGTGATGTGAGGATTGGAATTGACCAATCTCAGATAATGTGATGACCTCACATTTGCTTTTTCTTCGCATGGTGAGGCAGGTCGCTCGCGCCGCCAGTCCCGGATGAGCTTGCGACGCTCTTCCAACAAGGGCCTCTTCTTATACATGGCCTGACCAGGCAAAGAAAATGGTTTAGTTACAACTAAGACCATATTGATATTGCAAAAGAATAGCTATAGCATGCTATAGCCATTGAACACGTGTAACTGGTAGTAGCTCCAGCTGCAAGAAAGGTCAAATGGAATTGCCTTCCAGAAGCAGAAAGGACATGTTACCAAAAAACTTACAGAAAGAAAACTTAAACAATCTTACAGTAAACACGTCCTTCACGTTAGCACCAACCAATAGCATCAACGAATTGCTTATTACTCAATGTCAGATTCAACAAATCGCACCACCCCCAAAACGGACGCCGATTCCGATGCGTTGTTTGCCTTGCAGGACATGTAGGGGAAGTGGTCAAAGAAGTGGGTGTCATCAAAGTATTCATCCGGCACACCCATCTCCTGGGCAAGTTTCTCCCTCGCAGTTGGATTGGCAGGAAAATGGATTGGCAGCTCAGTAACAAAACCGGCAGCGTCGCTGTTCAACAACAACATATACTGAATTCAATGACTGTCACGGAGATCCTAGGATTAGTATATACATGTCCATGTAAATTAGTTGTCTGAAATTAGGCACCATCCTTCGGTTCGCCCGACGCACGACATGTCGACCTGAGGTTTTTTCTCCCTCGACCAGTCCCACTACCAAGTCCCACCAGTCCCACTTGCTGGAACTAACATGGTTACATGGATGGCACGGGGGACACCTGGGACACCTTCGGATGACTCACGAAATCCGAATACCCAACTGGGGGGGTGCCTTCCACGTAACCATGTTGGTTCCAAGGAGTGTACCCAGTGGCTTTGGTAGGACCAGTCACCCGTCTGGGCGAAGTCGGAGACGGGCCGTGGCGGCCGTGGGTGACGGTTTTCTCAAGTTTGAACTGATTGGCAGAATCATAAGGTGCTTTTTGAGCAACTAAAGTCATAGGAATCCAAGGACAACCTCTTTTTTTCGGGGTTGGCTAATTCAAATCCCCCACAGAACACCCCAGCAGAGCCCAGCACGCGCCCATCTTGTTCACTCGCAGCGGCGTGCCGCAGTCGGCGGCGGACCATCTGGCCCATGATCTTCCGGTCCAAAGTGGTGAGATGAACCATGTCTAAGTCGAAGACCAAGTAGATGGGATAGTCCTGCTGAGTGGCACTAGGTCGAAGACCACATTTTTTGCCAAGACAGGATGGGACTCGGTCCTTTTGGGGGAGTGCTTTCTCCTGTGGACTGTCATGCTGAGTGGTATACTAGCTGAGATAGTCCGTCGTTTTTGGGTGATAGTCCTACAAACCCTGCGGAATGTTCTGTTCATGTCTTTGTGGCTGTGAAATTTGTTACATCCCATGGTCACGGCAATCTTCAAGTGGAATTCAAACAAAATGCTTGTTTCGGAAGATGTTTTTTTGGGGCGAGGAATCGCCATCCGATGTCGGAGCGAATGTCGCCATCGAGGCGGCCTTCGTTGGACTCGACTGGACCGATGGCGAATCGGTCGACGAGTGGACGAGTTGTCGGACAGGTCGATGAACGCAACGCGACCGATTGGCCTGTGGTCGACGAAGGCGTGATGAGTCTTGGTAGTAGTGAGTCTCACTACTGATAGGAGGAGAAAGTCTTGGTAGTATGAGTCTTGGTGGGTGTGTATTGCAAGATGGTGACCCCACTGGCGACCCCCCCCCGCCAATACACGCCCGCAGAAAGATGCTGCATGCTTGATGCTTGAAGAGCAAAGCCATATATTGAACGCTTTTGAAACGGGCCACTTGGAAGGAGAGTATGATTTGATATGATTTGATCGTCCTGAATTGATCATTCAATTTGTTGCTCGCCTTACAATGGACGGGCAAATGGATATCTTGATAATCTTATATCTTAGCCAACCTACGACCCGAACCCCGTACCAGTCTGAGTGCTTCACCCTCCGCCCCCGAAGTACCACGCCGCTTGAGGGACAGCGCAACAGAGTGCTCTGCACGTCGGGTTCTCCTCATAGAGGCCCAACAAGCGGCGCACATCACCTGGTTCACAGCGGCCACCGCGCACCCGTGGTCACCGCTCGGTGGTCAAGCGGCGCAGCGTCGGGCGCACCCGGCACAACCGGCATGTTCTTTGGGAATCGAACTGCCAGCGCTGCTGCTGGTGCTCGGACTTTGGACAAGAACAGGTGCTGTACTTCGGTCACAAAGCCAAATTTCAGCCAATTGGGCCAATTGTGTGAGGGACATGCAAAGTCATACAATCATACAATTTTAATGATTGAAACCTTGGACTGGACATCAACCAACATGAATCTGCTGCTGGCTTAAGGACTTGTAAGCTTTGATGTTCCTTTTAGGTCAGCATGAACAGCGTCAAGATGCGTCCAGATACAGTGTAGGACCGAGGAATTCTCCACCAATCTCTTGCACTGAACACACACATTGAATGATAGCTGCCAATTCAATACAATCCCTCAAATTGCCATGACGACCGCAAGGTCGATTGGAGAAACCACATCGACACACCCTGACGGTAGACGGCAACCTACCAGGCCATCAGAGTAGATGGCACAGACCGAAAAACAAGTTCTTTACATGGGGGTTCATACAAACCACCTCTTGGGGTCTGTGCCATCTACTCTCAATCCACTGTAAATATTCATCCTCTTTCTCTGCCAAGTGGCTGTCTTTCTTGTTGTCTTCTCCATGGGTCTGATGAGACCACACCTGCGGTCCCCCAAAACAATCAACATTCAACCATGGCGATCGAACAAAAAAACACCAGCCATGGCTATCAACTAGTTGGATCCACAGCTCTGGCTTCTGACAAACTCTTAGGAACACCGTCGCAGCATTGCATAGAACCTCATTCAAATACGGATTTCACACATCGTTAGACGAGGCGATAACTGAAAGCTATGTCCTTCGTCGTTCGGCACCAAGATAAAGACCTGTATAGGTGAATTTTGGACAGATGCGAGCTGAAATTGATTGACTGGTGCTTAGTAGGGAATGAGGGAATATAAGCACCAGTTAATTGATTGATCTATAAAACTCTCGTCCCCATCTCTTGAGACAAACCCCCCTACGCCCTACGCCCACGTGCTTCCCCGCTCGAGACCAAGCGCACCAGTTCCACGTACTTCTCCAGTTGTTGTCGCTTGGAGATGGTGCTGTGGGGCGACCTGGGCGGGGATTCTCGGATCCTGGGCGCCAATCCCAGCACCTGCCAGAAAAGGATTGCATGGGGACCATTCATATGGGATCGAGGTATCTTTTATAATGCAATAAGGACCTAAGACCTATATCTTTCAGCGTCTTGAGTGGAGCACCGGGACACCAAGTTCTCTTCTCGGTGTTTGAGGATGACATTCATCTCTGCGCTGATCTTCTAGTCTAATGCGATCAGAACTTGGGGGGTTGCTATCAATGACCAAACGTATACATACATAATATATAAACCTCGCAAAAAAAATAATCCACAGGCCCAACAACCTGACACGTATACCTGGCGAACAAAGTAGTTAATGGTGGGTTTACGAAGCATTTCATAGAACAGAACATCTTTTTAGAATGGGATGGCCAACCGCGGCTCTCAAAAAACTTACAAACCGCGCAAATCCATAGAATGAGGTGACCAACCTGAAGCCACAAAAAAGCTCTGGCAAATGGGCAAATGGGTCTATGAAACGACCAGGTCAAGTTCTGTGGTGTATGAAGCGTTTTTTGTTGTTCACCTTTTCTATGAAATGACACTGAACTGCATCAGTGTCGAGCCAACAAAAGAATACTTGGACATGTTTGCAAAAAAAAAGCTAATATAGGGAAGATATGCTCAGAAGAAAGGACAACGAAAGACACAAAAATTAAAAGCACCTGTAACTTCATATATTATATACACAGGTGTGTAATTGTTATGCGTATATATAATATACTGTATACAGTATATGCAATTCCACCAGAACATCCTCAGAATAGGCCGTATAGTAGAGTTGTTTTACTCAAAATGTGATTTCACTTCACCCACATGTTCAAGCCGCTCCAAATCAGCTTCTGTTGACAATTGCATTCCATCTTTAACGCAGGATGACCGATTTGAACACGACCACTCCCTCTCTTTTTTCCGAGTGCCCTCCCAGAATGGGTCGCTGAATGGCCTTTTTTGATGTTCTTCGGGGTCCCCATCGATGGGTCGATCCATGCACCCGGGTCAAAGACACCGATGGGTCGCACCCGGGTTTGCGGTCGCACCCGGTGTCTGGGCCTCTTCAGATGGTCCGCTGGGCGTTTCACGCCACCGACCGAGACTTGGCAGCCGGATGTGTCGAGTCACACGATCGTCGGATTGGCTTCCAACGCGATGTGATAGTTCACCTCGCTGGCGGGTTCGCCCGAACGGGAACGGGTCGAGGAGCCTCTTTTTTGATCGAGCCGCACGGTGTTTGGATGGTGTTTTGAGTACGGAGATACGTCGAGAGCCTTTAGAGTTTTGAGATCTTTGATGATCTTTGGACTTCATGTTGTGGCACAACGCATCGGCTACTGGGCACTTTGCGGAAAAGCCGGTTCGATCTTCATTGTCGAGGTGCAGAGAGTTGAAAGGAAAGCAGGAAGCTCGGTTAATTCCTTGTGGGGAGTGGTGCATCAATGCTAATCCTGGTTGCTCTCAAATAGCTATCTTAGCTTAACTAACTAGCCTTCACCACCGAAAGAGATAGAACCCCACATCTAGGCATTTAGGTTCCTTGACCTTTCCACACGAACCAACAAAGAACCGACCAAAATTATACAAACATATCTTCTTTGCTATTTTGTCTTCTTTGCTATATTCATTTTCACGACCCCTTGTTCCATGCGGCCAAGGAACAGCACCCTGCACGGTTCTCATCACTGTCTGTGATCGCATCGACGCCCACAGTCGAACTTCGATGCGCGTCTTATCGCTCACACCCGGCTGGGCCTTGCCCAAATATCCTGAGTCTGCCAAAAGAGAACCGGCTTGATCTCTCCCAAGCAACTTGCTGTCTACTCGCGTACCACTGGACAAACAGTTTGATCCACCTGACATAACCTGACATAATCTCCAAGAAACTGTAAAATTCATTCTTTGTCAGAAAATGATCCAAAGAAAGGCGTCCTCATCCTCCTCATGCAGTTCAAGCTTCGCAGCAGCAAGTTGCTCTCGGCCAAGCGTGCGGTCAGGCGCTGCCACTCCTGCCCAAACTGTGCAGCCACAGCTGCAGATCTAAGCGAATTGGACCTTTTGGAAGAGAAACATATTATCTGTTCGGGTATATCCGAACCCATCCAAACTCTACAGGTCTTCTTGCACCCTCGAAGGTCTTGTTGGAGTTTTGGAGGTTCTTGATATTTTTGACTGGAAGTGGATGTATAGTAAAGACAAAATCACGGACTAGACTACACATTTCTGCAATGCGTGACTCTTTAATGAAGTGCATGTTTTTCCTCAGCAGAGCAAGTGGAGGGGCCCACCGGCCCACATTTACTTCTGGCACGGTACATGGAATCCCCAATGCTCCATGTGAGTCAATATGACCTACAATCACCACCAAGAACATACATGGAGCATATAGGCATGTCCATATAGATTCATCATGATTCATCCACCAGCATCCGCACGACGGTCTTCCTTTAGAGTTAAAAAATCTTTCATATGGTAAGGCCAGAATCCTTGATCTAAAAAAACAAGTCGAACACAAATTCAAAAAAGTCAAGCTCAATAAAAAAAAATTCTCCAAAAATTCAACAAACAAATTTAAAAACGTCAACCAAAAAGTCAACCACTCGAAAAAACAACAAGGTACAAACAAAAACTGCAACAAACAACAAGGTACAAAAACTGCAGCCCCGTTACAAGATATCTTGTTCCTTTGTCTCTACAAGGGGGTGCAACCCCGTCGTTGTTATTTTGCCCCCCCCGAAAACAACCAGCCAACATGTACTTTTACCAGTAGTGGTAGTGCTTGTACTAGTGCTAGTACTATACTATAGTGGTACTAGTACTAGTACTAGTAGTAGTCGTTGTCGTTGTCGTAGTCGTAGTCGTAGTCGTAGTCATAGTCGTAGTAGTAGTAGTAGTAGTAGTAGTAGTAGTAGTAGTAGTAGTAGTGGTAGTCGTAGTCGTAGTGGTAGTGGTAGTGGTAGTAGCAGGAGTAGTAGTAGTAGTAGTCGTCGTGGTGGTGGTGGTGGTAGTCCGGTCAGCTAAGCTTCTGTAAAACTTCTACTTAGAACCTCTACCACATCCTAGAGACAAAAACTGCAGCCCTGTTGTTGTTTTTTTGAACCCCCCCCTCAGAAGATGTTGTTGTCTCTACCCCCCCTAGAAACAAAATCTACAGCCCCGTTGTTGTTTTTTGATCCCCCCGCTCCAGAACAACATCCCAAAAAACATCAAAAAACAAGAAACAGGGCAACCAAGACTTGAGTACCACAACGACAAGAAGTCCAGCTACTGACATCTCTCCAAACCTTCGACCCTATCCCGAACAGTGTCCCTTTGAAATCCCTGACTTGCAACATGTGACAACTATGTTGGGCAGCTGTTTTTGTCTCTAACAACAACAACAACAACAACAACAACGACAAAGATCTATAGCCGATAGGTTCATTTTGGCCAATCTGCTCATGGCCTAAAGTGAGAATGCTCGAATATGTTGGTGGATCCTTGGGGTACTTCATGATGATCCACCGCAGATTGGCGCCGTTCTGCGCGGTCAAGAAGCCATCTTGCAGGATCACCTGGTGCGGCCAACAGGTGTCTGCCGGAGTAAGCACAAGCGACATCATGAGACCATGCTCCAACAGAATTCCTGCGTTTTAAGCCAAAGGTCTTCTTCAAAAACAGCTACGCAAGACCGCGCGACCAAGGTCGCTGCCCCACCATAATCCAAACCGCTTTGGGTCGCTCTTGAGCGACTCGCTCTGCCTTCATCGCGCCACGGGCCCCCCGTGACACGCGCATGGGCGCGGCCTCCTCATTCACCGCAGGGAGAACTTGGGAGAGCGGCATGATGTCATGGGTGCGGAAGATGCCATGGTGGGAGATCGGAGGATTCTCCTCGCGGAGGAGTCCACGTTTTGGAATGCATGCGGGTCCAATTGACCGGCTGCTGGTTCTTTTGGGGGGTGATGTTGTTGGTCTTTTCCCTGTGGGACCATGATTCTTGGGCTGATTAGGACCACTTTAATTAGGGTGCCGAACTTCAAGATAGTTGTCTGGAGCAAGCCATATATGAAGTGATGTTTGGGAGAGGATTTACAAGTAGCAGCCAAGGCTTCCATGGCCTTGATAAGGTCCCTTTCAACTGTTTTGGGCACACAAAAGCAAAGGAACTACTCTCACATGAAGAATGGTCACAGAATGTGAAGCTAACCATTCCCTACACATGCCCTAAAGGAACACTGGCTTGGACTGGTGAGTGATTCTTGAGTCTTGGTTTCTTGTCCATGTCTATACCTTGCATTTTGGACCATCTCTGACAAAGCCTACATTGATGTATATACTGTGTATATATAATATATATATATTATACATATTATATATATATATATCTTATATCGTGGTGTGGGTTATTTGCCGTTAACGCCGTTAACTACTTGCTTTGTGGCCGGATTGTGTTGGGCTTGGAATTGGAGAGTGAGTTCCTGAGAGAACCCATCCCGCAATAAGAGAGCGAGAGTGCTCGCTCGCGCCAGAGTGCTCGTCTCCTCCATTCGAAGGCGATCCTCACAAATCGTGCCTCCGTGCGATGGGAGGATATCCTCCACCTCCCGGTTGAACAAAACACTGCCACCAGTGAGAGAGCCAACTATGTACTTGGAATTCCTAAAACAAAACAAGCGGGCAAATACCAGGATCGCGGCAGTAGTGATTGGATTGCAGACTCCTTGAAGCTCTATAGATCCCGTTCTTTTCCACCACGTCTTCGGCGTGCCATGTGTTTGGCATCCACCAAGACCAGGCTGGCACCCGTCTTTCGAGCGAGCGAAAGGCTGTCTTCGGCGATGTCTCATCGGCACCCAAAAAGCTAGCAAGGGCGCAGGACCCGCACATCGAGCGCTTTCATGGGGACGGTGGATAAAGAAAAAGACAGTAACAGCAAGGCTTGGCGGCTTGCCTACCTTGGGTCAAACCAGAACCGGAACTATCACCAACCGTGACCGTGCGTCCATGCAAAAAGAGAAAAGTCCTCTCCCTCCTAACCTGAACACCTAAGGCCTAACACAATTTCGACATTGTACATCTTCAATTCTGCTCCCAGCAGGGCACCATGCATGGACCATCAATATCCCAATTCGACCAATGGTTTTTTGTCCTTTCCTCCACGCCCCGGCCGAGTGGCGGAGAGAGGCGAAGAAGAAAGTGAAGCGCTCACGAACCACAGGGTGCAATGTGTGGAGATAGACGGGAGCATCCGGGTTCTTCTCCTGGAGAGCCAGTCACCCACCAAAAATACATATAAAGCTAGAGCCGGCTACAGGTTCTTCTCCTGGAAAAAAGAGTGATGCTCGAGTCACAGAAGCACACGTTATCGGCTTTTGAAACAACCGGGAATAAGATCCACACAAATGTACAGTCTTATGCCCAAAAAGCTGTTGGGGGGCATTTACTTCAAGACAAGACAAGTTGGCGGCAACATCCTCAGCTTAGTTCTTGGGCGGTAAGTACCAGCCAATCACTTCTAAATGAGGGAGTAATAAGTCAACACACCGTGAATTTGCAGTAATGTATCACAACAACAGTCTTTGCATATAAGTGTTTCTTAATATTCATCGCATGATAATGTATTCTTGCACGTTAGAACCCTATGGTCACCCACCACCTGTCACCATTATGGTCCAATGAGGGAGTTACCACTCTGTGGTGATGTGTTCACAAGAAGAACTCCAACACATGTTGATTATCAGTAACAAAAGGTAATTGAAAGACTACAGTAGTCCATTTGCAATCAACAGTATCAATCAACCAAGAAGTGGCAACCGTTATATATTTCTTACTTATTGATTGTTTTTTGTTTTTTTTTTAGTGTAACCTCTTGAATGTTTCCGTACGAAGCACTCCTCGCTTCAATATTCACACAAACAAACGGTTACGGTTACAGCTTTGCAAAGAGAACGCAAAGAAGAAACACATATATAAACATCCCCACTACAAGGATTCCTCCGACAGCTGGAGTTTCCACCCCCACGACACCAACTAGTCTTCCTTTACTTCTTTGTCACCGCCAAACTGAGCACGTGCAGCATGCGTTCATCGCTCCGAATTGCTCTTGGAGGCCATCTGCATGAGTTCATCCGCCTCAGCACTGCTCAGGAGGTCCTCCTTCCACAAACGATAGCCTCGGCCGTTTCGGCAAATATTTCGCGAAGCTGAAGTACTCGATCAGAATTGGAGGAATGGCGGGTAGACAGCCAAGAAGTGAGTCTGAACATGATCTTTCAGGGGTACATCAAAGGTCCCTTTTCATGGTCCATGTTTCGTTGGGAGGGGGGCTTTGTTAACGGCACTCCTGGGTGGTGTAACCCAATGCCATCACATATCTAGGTCTAGGGTGGCATGGTAGTAGTCGTCTAACTGCGCTTCTGAATATGTCATAGCGAACAACTTTTGGAGTACAAACGCATCCGTATCATCCTCGAGTACATTTTGAACTAACATACCAATGACCAGGAAAGCTCACGTGGCAAGTTGAACTGCTAGGGGTCAGTTGAACTGTGCCACTGAGGCGGACCGCACAGTTTTGGAACTCATCATGCGTTGGACCTTGCCGCAATACAGGGACGCTACTACAAGGTCGCTACTAGGAACAAAGGGCAGGAGCAAGGACGCTACTAGGACGTCCCATGTCCAACCTGAAAACAAATCCTCAGTGCCCTGCAACGAGTGATGGTGCCGACTGCTGCGAGTGATGGTGAAAAGCAGTCATGTCCTCCATATACAAGCCATTTGATCGACGTGGATTATGGATTGAACAAGATTATATAAACAATTTCACCGGCATAGACCCCAAATAATTAGCAACTAACTGAAACAGAAGCACATCTTGTCAGAACCATCCCTTGCTCAGCTTCTTTTGGGGGGGTCGCTCAGCACCACCGTGAGCACAACTTACAAGCGGACCACAATTCTGAGCCCATCCGCGAGGTCCATGAACCGCGGATCTGGTGGATTCCCACGAAACTGGAGCGTTCAGCGGCGTTCAGTCACCAAGGTCTCTTCCTCGTGCCAGGCAGGCTGGCTTCTAGGCTCCTTCCCACCGAGCTGCAAATCAAATTCCAGGTGTGTCGCCATCCGTTTCCGAAGACTCGCCTGGGTGTTGCACCAGAACTGTGGGAGGATTGTGTGCATGTGTCCTTTTTGTTTTTTTGGGGGTTATGCACTATGTCATTATGCAGGATGTCTCAAACCTCCATCTCTATCTGGCTGTAGTTCATGCTGTTCATGACACCAGGAGACCGACCCCGGTTGAAGGCGACCCAACACACGACCCCTTCGTGTCGGTGCTTCGGACGTGCGGGACGTGTGGGACACCTCCTCTCCCCTCGCTCCAAGGCACTGCATCAGCTTCCCGGCGCGCGGATTGTTCTCCCCGACGCCCAGGTTGGAATCGGAGAGGAAGACCGCGGAGTCCGGCGCCTCGGGTGTTCTCGGGTGGCTCTTAAAAACACACACACAAGACTTTAATGTCTGCGACTTGATGTTTAATGTCCAAAGAAGCAAAACACCTGAAACACCACACACGTCATATTGAAGTTTGATGTTGATGTTCCAAACTCATAACATGTCGATGTCGATGTCAACATGTTGATGTTTAGACTTGTGTGTTCGTTTCTCCACGTTCGCGGGGCGCAAACGGCCTTGTGTGTTCGTTACTGATGTGTCCTCTTTCCCCGACTGTCCGTACTGAAGTCTCTTGGCTGTGATGCAGAAACCTGTTTTTTTGGTCACGTTCATGTCATCGGAACACCATCAGTGCCAGCGATCCCTACGCAGGGTTCCCAACGCCCAGCGGGTTGGGGTCGGCATGGAACTCCCTGCAACGAGCCTCCCACCCGCGCTGCCGGCCGCGCCTTCCGCATGCCGTTGAGCCCTCTCTGGGTGCCCAGCACGATTCCAATCTGCATGGAATGAGCAGGTTTTTACGGTGCTTTGGCCACAGAATCCGTCGGAAAGCACAGCCATGATGGATCCAATCAACCAATGGGGCAGTTGCCCCTGAATTGAGTCACTGCCAATCTTCGAGAGATTGGCTTTGCATGGGCGAAATCATTGGACCACTATATACATCTTGATTGATCACATGCCTTGACAAAATGAATGGTTGAACTGCAAACCACAAACCTTTTGTCATGTGCTGAAAGCGGGATGGAAACACCTCACACCTCAGAAAAGCCGTTGTCAGGTCGGACTGGGCTCGAAAGCCTGCTTGGATGTGCAGTTGGATCTATCAGGGCAGAGGTGAACTTTTGGGAAGCCTGCTTGGAGTGATTCATCTACCACAAGGCACACTATCCGCCCTATCCTTGTCGCCCACAAGCCACTGGTTGGCTACAAACAAATGGACCTGTGCCTGTTCTTTGGATCTTCTAGGCAGTCCTTTTTCAAAACCCCCTTCGCCCACGCCCGCACTGCCCACAGCGTCCGTTTTTCTTCGAGGCGCGACAGAGGTGAACAGCACGTGGCCCATGAAAACATCGATGAAGAGCATGCTGGCTAACATCAGGTAAAGGATCATCATGCCTCAGCCATGGAGTAAACACGGAGTACATACCCAGTACATTCCCAGTACCAGTGGATGGAACGCATCTACGAAGAACAACTACCATAGTACACTTGTCAATCGTTTGGCTCCGGAAATCACCTTTCAAACTTGCTAGGCACACAGTGGACACTAGACGCATCTAGACTCCACTAATGGTCAATACTATGATCAATGTATATCCCTAGAGTTCTTCGCCCTCGATCGCACGGACCCCCCGTCTCCGCCCTCTCCGCATTCGCCGCCAGGGAGCTCATGTTGCATGCCACGCATTCCGACCGCCTCCAGCCGGCCATGTTCGAGTGGCCCCCGGATCCAACTGGCGACCCGGATCCGACTGGCAACTGGCGACCAAACAAGACCCTTGTTGTAAGACCTTGTGGATTAAAGAGTAGTACATGTAATATCATGTAATTAACACAGTACACAGCACCTCGTTGAGGCTGAAAGGCACTGAAAAGGCTTCAAAAAGAAAGGCCGCTTTGATCGAGAACGTTCATCATGTACCTCACCGATGTTGGAAACTCGTACCTCACCCAGCAGCCCGGCCACCGAGGCCAACAAATCCCAAAGACCACGTTCGGCCAATTCCAAAAGACCTCCACCTTGGAGGTCAAAAAACCCAAGGAACTCTAGTGGATCCTGACAAATAAAACAGGACGACACGGAGGTTTGTATCTGTGCTTCTTTTTCAGTATCTCTGCCGGCTTCTGAACATCATTTTCTGTAGGTGTTCAAGCGCCTCCAAATCATTCCCAAACACTTCATCTATGGTATTTTGTGCCTACAGTATGCATGCCCAAACTAACCACCCAAATGTAGGTATATATATAAAATATACCATACATCGAGTGTCTGGGCTCAATGTATGTCCCCATCATGTCGAGCCCGAAAGTCGTCCCAGGTTTGAAGCCACTGTCCCAGGGGCCAGGGGAGTGGATGGCAACGGCTTGAGCAAAGGGAGTCGAAGGAGAGGCCCTGCATCACCGGGAAAACCATGTAGATCTCCAAGATGAAGCAAAACCTCAGGAAGCTTTCGGCCTCGAATGAACAAAGATTCGTGTTCTTTTTTGTTGTTCTGGGCCTTTCAGGGCGTCGCTCTGGAGATTGGGTCTTGTACCCACCTCTAGATGTTGATCTGGCGACTCAAAAGGGACATTCTTGGCTGGGGATCGAGGTATTCTCAAAGCACGTGCAGGGCTCTTGGATGCGCAAACTACCTCCAGAAAGTGACCGTGGCCGTGGATGTGAAGAAAAACTATGTACAATATGTACCATGTTTGTCCAACAAATGAGAACTGCACCGGCAGTCAGTATGGGATCCATACCCATAGCAAGGAGGCGCGGCATTCATATACAGTTGTTAGCTTCATTTTAGTATGGAATGTCCCCATCCTCTTAAGCAAGGTCACCATTAGCGGCCTGCGGTTTCGGCAACATGACTTATTTGCATGTTGTTTCATTGCGCCAGTGGTTAAGCCTCAAACCTTTGGCGACACCTTCCAAACTCTGGGTAAACCCGAAATGTCATACCATCACACCTTCCAAACTCTGGTTGAGTCCTGAGGGTGACACCCTGCAAACTCTCAGTGAAGGCATGAACAGGCTCCGTGAAGTGGATCTGAATGCCAAATTTTCCCTTCGTCACACCGGGTGAAACCATCTGACCGAGCACGTCGCCAGGCGGACGTTAAGCAACTCTAGGCAGGTATTAGGCGGAACATCAACACATGTCAAAACTGAAATCACAACCTCCTTCAAACTGTCAAATTTTATTGAACATGTTCCACACAACAATTTTCACCTCCTGTGTTTGCAAGCAAACAAAAAGTTGTATACATAACCATCTGTATGCACGAGACCAACCCCATCTATATAATGGTTGCAATAGCTTTCTAACAGTTCCAAAGGGAACCTTTTATTGTTCGCACTGGCCATTGTGAAAATTTCAAGTCACACGCCAGCTGCTGTAGACTTTGTGGTGCGAAACTTGGTGGTGATGAGGGTGGAGATCGTGATGAGGGTGGAGATCGTGGTGATGGTGGTGGTCGTGATGATGATGATGACGACGATGATGTCACCATGTTGTAATGTTGAATGTGTTGTTATTCGAGCCGGACAGCACCACCACCCCGACCTCACCCCGGCCTGGTCGAACATCTGGTGAAAGGGATGTTGAGTATTGCAGAACACATGGAGTGTGCTGTGGAAAGGATACGTGGAGAACGTATAGTAAGAACGTCGTGGGACAAATGATGAATGTTGCAGCGCGTGAACCATCATGTTGTGGAAAGAATGGACAGTGTTGTGGAACGGGTGATGAATGCTGCAACGCCCGAACCATGTTGTGGAACGATGATGAACGTTGTGAAACGCTTGAACCTCCAAAATGTTGGGTGGTCTTCCAAGTGCCTCTGAATGTACGTTTACCACGCAGATATTTCAAAACGCCTCTAAAACACCAGGCTGCTAGTGGCAACGTGGGGTTGCAAGCCCCCATCATCTTTTGCAAATGGGATCAACCAAAATTGAAATGCAATCATTTGTAATTATAAATGGTTGAAGTACATCCTTCAACCCCTATCTGACGTAGCGTTTATCAGTTTATCAACAACTGCAGGGGTGACCAATACCCTAGAACCGTGCCATGTAAGCCCTGTCCCCCGAAAGTGGCCCACCACCGGAGATGGTCTTAGAGGCACTTCTTGCCAGTGTCTTCGGAAAAGGGAAGCCAGTCACATTGGTGGCCTGTCTTTTTGCTCCCAATTCTCTAGCGCCTGCTTTCCCTGTCTTTTTGAATCCACCAGAACTTTTGAATCCACCAGCCATTACAGTCGCAGATTTTACACCCATTACGCAGCTGTTCAAGCTGTTAAACCAGCCACTTCATCCAGGACGCCAATGCGTTTTTCTCCACCAAAAGGTGCCACCGAGGGACCCCAGGACGACCACCCAGTACGTCAAGCGCTTCCAAAAGGGTGCCGTGGCACCTAGTGATTCGGTGCGATTCCGGGCGCGATTCTGGGCTGCCGAAGGAAGAAGTCCGACTGCCAAACCAAAAAGCCTTTTTTGATCATCGATTCATCAAGGGTTAGGTATCTGTTCATGTCTTTTCTCAGTCAGTTGTAGATATTCAGCCCATCTTTCTCGGGTGTAGTGTCTCAAAGGAGCAAGTCAGTTCATCACTGGCACGGGTCACCTCAATGAACTCATTCTTTCACAGTTCAGCCTCACAACCATAACCATGAGTTCTCGTGGTTGCAGCTAGGCCTGCTAGGCACCCGTGGTGACCAAAAGAACATGTGATACAAAACTCCACAAAAAGGGGTCCATGACCTGCTTCATGTCAAATCCTCAAGAACACACACACAAAAAAAAATCACTCCCCACAACGACGTGGATATCCACTTGGCTGCTTCAGAACAACCCGTCCTTCTAAGATGGAAAATACGTCACACGCATCAAAACCGAATGAACGCACCCGCCCCGCCTTCGCTGTCAAACTTGGGTTTGGGATCCTTGGGGCCCTGGGGGAAGGGCTCCTGTGCCCGGAAGCAAAGGATGGGCAAGTTGTTCTTGAGCCTTGGATCGAACGACGGGCAAACCGACAGGCACGGCTTCAGCACATCCCGTGGCATGTGCATGTGCGGTGTTTCTGTGTTTGATATTTTCCAAGGTAAACAAGGTTGTCCTTTTTTTTATGAGGGGTTCTTGTCAACTAGTGCTTGAACATGTGCGCGTGGTCGGTCAAAAGCTGAATATATAGGTTTGGTGTTCTGTTTTTGGATTCCCTGGGGGTGGGCCTTTGCTGTATCCAATTGTATCCGTAGCTGGGTGTTCCTTCTCAGAAACACAGGGTGTGCCGGGTTTGAAGTCCCCTTGTGGTGAGAGAATCAACCAAAGCCTTGATGTTTCAGCAAGTCCAAAACTGCTAGCAAGATCAAAGCACCTAAGGCCGCCAAGCCATGCTCCAAAGGGCCCCAAGCCATGCTCTAGAGGGCCCCAAGCCATGCTCCAGAGGGCCCCATGCCCGATCTGCAATTCGATACCTATTAACAAAGCTCTCTGAGTTCTCTTCCAATCGCCCAACACATGGCATCTCTGAGTTCTTCCCCGGCTATTCTGCAGGTGAGGCGCAAAATCAAATAGGTTGCCCTCCACAACAAAAAACCAGGGCCAATGAACTGCAACTGGGCGAGACCGATCAATTGCTCAAGCGGGCGTCGTATGACCATCGATACATGTTTACAATCAATAATAAGTGCCGTTTGTTTTTCCCAGAAACAATCCCCTTAGAACCCTTTAATTCAAAGTATCTCACAGTCTCGATTGTTCATGATTCGTAATTATTGTAAAACTCAGGACTAAAATGTACCTTGTAACCAAATGTCAAACTCATCTGCGTGCGCTCCAGTTTGAGATTGGGCTTGCGATGCCACATGCTGTCAGCTGTCAGGTAAAATTTAGGATACTCTTGATTGCATGTGACTCTGTTTGATTGCCAAGACTCACAAAGAACAACATATAAATATATATGACAGGAATTCCAAGAGTGGCTTGGTGGGGTTGGAGTTCCAAGATTGCCTCAACCCCCCAAGCAGTCAACTTGCACTTGACCATCGAAGATGGGCGAAGAGATGCGATGCCAGTCCACACAGGTTGGTTGGAGGAAAAACAGCAACGAGCTTCAATCCAATGACTCCATGGTCACACAGAAAGGACATGAAAGGACCTTCAGTTCGTGACCTCTTTGGAGTCTATATGTGACCTCTCTAGGGACTTTTTCTTGACCTCAGCCACTGGGATCTCAAAAGGTCACTTTGAAGGTCTTGGCACGCGCACACACACACAGTGCGCTCACTCACTTCGGGTTCAAGCAACATGTCAGGTTGTCCTCTGGTCTTCACCACTGGGCTCCTCACGATTCAGTCAAATCTGGTCCTTTGATGTCTAGTGACTCTAGTGTTCCATCGAGTCAAAATCGATTTGGCAGCTCATGTCCATTTCAGATGCACTCCCAACACCTGAGCCCAGAGTTACCCGTTCTTCCACTTCACCGTGGATTGTCCCGTGGTGAAACAAACGGGAATGTTCCAAGCCATCCGATGGATGTATACCGTGCAGTCCGGCCACGACATCAAGATCTGGTGCAGCAAGATAGACGCCAAAGACAGCCTCAATGCAAGGATACAATCTCTGTCTTTTGCATTACCAGGTTGGGATTCTGTCAGGACACCAAGGGATGGCTCATCATTTGACCTATTAAATGGCATTGGTGCATGGCCTTTACGAGATCGACTGTCCATCGATAGCGGGCAAAATGCTGCTGTTAGATTCGGCTGATAACAACCCTTCCGGGTAGGTCGTTCTCAGAGCTGCCATAACATCTCACTCTCTCACTCGTCATACGACTGCCTGGCCACTGTCATCACCAGGGCCCTCATGAGACAGTGACAGTCTTGTCATGCCTTGACACCTCTGGACATCTTTCGTCCAACACATCGAGATCACGTCATCTTAAGCATTTGAGTAGGACGAAAGCACCAACAGGGGTATGACAGACCTCAGGTCTTAAGGTGGAAGTATAGAAACGGTTTAAACATGGAAACAGTGGGTCTTCGATGCTCCAGTCCAGTCATTCTGAGATGTTCCGTTTCTTGCTTTGACGGACGAACAATTCCTCGTTTTTCACGTGATGCTTTCACGGATGCTATGAGGATCATGTCACCACGGGTATGCCAGTCGCATGTAGAGTTTGGGAAACCTGCTATCTCGAAGGATCTTCACCACCGGGAGTGGCAACAATGGCAACAGCGAAAACAACCAGGACAACAACCTACTGGACTATATTCATGTTTCAGGATTATCATGATACCTGTCCTTTTCTTGTGAGAGTGAGTTGCAGTCTCCGTATCTCTGCCACGCATGGGTGCCAGCTGAGTCGCAAGGGCGATGATCAACCCAAAGGATCGCTTCATGATCTCACGCACGCGCGGGGA